AAAAAAAAAAAAAAAAAAGAAAGAAAGAAAGAAAGAAAGAAAAGATACATTGTGATATATATATATATAAAATATATAATATACATGTATCTATATGAAATTTTTTTTTTTTGAGACAAGGGTCTCACTGTGTTGCCCTGGACAGAGTGCCATGGCATCATCTTAGCACATAGCAACCTCAAACTCTTGGGCTTAAGCCATTCTCTTGCCTCAGCCTCCTGAATAGCTGGAACTACAGGTGCCTGCCACAATGCCCTGGTAGTTTTTCTAGTTTTTGTAGAGACGGAGGTCTTGGCTTGCTCAGGCTGTTCTCAAACCCCTGACATCAAGCACCACCCACATCAGCCTCCCTGAGTGCTAGAATTACAGGCTTGAGCTAGTGTGCCCAGCCACATCATATATATTTTATAGGTATATAGATAGAGGGAGAGAGGAAATAGCAAGTGGGGTAAAGGGATACAGAAGTTGCTTGAACAATTTTTGCAACTTTTTTTGTAAATTTAAAATTATCTACATTTCACAAAGAAGATAAAAAGAAATGTATATATAGCCAGGTGTGGTGGCTCACGCCTGTAATCCCAGCACTGTGGGAGGCTGAGGAGGGAGAATCGCTTGAGCTCAGGATTTCGAGACTTGCCTGGGCAAGAGTGAGACCCTGACTCTTGAAAAAAATTGTTAAAACCCAGCTGGGCACCATGGCAAGCGCCTGTAATCCCAGTGGCTTCTGGAGGCTGAGGCAGTGGGATGCCCACAAGCTGCAGGAGTCTGAGGTTGCAGGGAGCTACCAAGCCACTGCACTCTGCTCAGGGGCATAGGGTCCAACTCTGTCTAAAAAAAAAAAAAAGAAATGTATATACATATACTGTATGTATATACATATGTATGCATTTTCCTACTGATGACACTTATGCTGCTTCAAATTTTCTGCCACTACAAACAGGGTTGCTGCTAATGATCTATGGGTTATTTATTTCTGAAGTGCCCCATGCCAAGTGAGTGACTGAGGATATGATCTAGCCCCTACCCAGCCCACCACATCAACCAGTTGGGCACATCCACACTTAATAAGGGTTGCTTTTCTAGAAGTACTATCAGCTTGTCAAGCTGTGCACCCATGGGCTGCTTTCATCAAGAGGAGGCATCTTTCATTAATTTAGACAAAGGTACTATGCAGCTTAGCAGAGGTCCTAATCATATGGACATTTTTAAAAAATTCTGTAGTAGATATTCTTGTTGGAATTGCCTGGCTGTAGGGTATGTTTGTTAAACTTTGCAAGGAAAGCATTGGCACACTCACTTCCAATTTTGTTGTGCTAATAATGTACACTGTTATATAGAGTATATGAGAATTCTCATTTCCTCATATTTCTTCAACTCATGATATAGTCATTATTTTAACTTTTGCCAAACCAGTGATTTTGAAATTAGATCCCATTTTTGTTATTCTCAAAATCTAATTACTAATGTGATTGTGCATCTTTTCAAATATTTCTTACTTGGAATTGATGGTTCAGATAATCCTCCACTTGCCCTTCCAGATACACTCTCCACTCTGCTCTGTGCCCAGAAGATGATTTTTTTTTTTTTTTGAGACAGAGTTTCATTTATCGCCCTCAGTAAGTGCTGTGGCATCACAGCTCACAGCAACCTCCAGCTCTTGAGCTTTGGTGATTCTCTTGCCTCAGCCTCCCAAGTAGCTGGGACTACAGGCGCTTGCCACAACGTCCGGCTACTTTTTGTTGCATTTTGGCCAGGGTAAGGTTTGAACCCACCACCCTCAGTATATAGGGCCGGCGCTGAACCCACTGAGCCACAGGCGCCACCTCAGAAGATGATCTTTATGGATGGCGTGAAGAGTTCCCTTCCCCTCTGGCTTCTGATTGAGTTTGGCCAATTGGAGAGCACCATCTCCAGCACATGGAGAGGTGTCTGTGGCTAAGTTCCTCTATCAAAGGCTACAAGTCCTGTTCAGGGGTCGTCTTCTGTAACTAGAGTTTCCTGTGTTCTATTTACTATTCCCTGCCCTTACCCTGCTTTACCCTGGTGGGAAGTAACAGCTCCCCACTCTTGCTGGCCTCCAAATAATTCAAAATATCTTGGTATGTTAGTTTATTCAGAAATTCTCTGCCTAATCCTGCCTTCCTCACTGCATTACAAGTGTTGTTCATGACAGACTGTAATAATGCTGTATAAGAAAATTTCCCCAAATTTATAACAGCCATTCATTCTCCTTGTTCATATGCTATGGGACATCTGAGGCTATTCTGCTTCCAGATGCAGGTAGGGTGGGCATGGCTTTAGTTGCAGACTGTGTTCAGATCTGCTCCATGGGAATCACTGTGTGGTCCAAGCCAAAGGATTAGCAATGACTGGGTGCATGTTCTTCTCACAGCAACCACAGAAGAACAAGAAAGCAAGCAAAACCACACGAGTATATTTAAATCCTCTATTCTTACATCACATCTGCTCATGTTTCATCAACTAAAACAAGTGATGACTAAGCTTAGGGTCAGTGGAGCAGTGAAGCACACCCCACCCCAAGGGTGGGGAGAAGTTGGGGTGAATATTTACAAAAAGTTATCCAATCTACCATAATTTCTTTTACCTTACCCAAACACTTGTGCAGTCTCTTCCTTTAATTCTCATCAGTTACCCCATTTGTGTGTGCCCTGATTCTTATTGGGACCTTGACTGACACTATTATCTTTCTCACAAATTTCTATATCGTTTTCCGTTTTCAAGTCCATACATTTAATTTCTGCCCCCACTCCCACTGCCTTTTAGAGTAGCCCTTTTTATTTCTTTTTTATGTGCAACTTCCTCCCCAAAGGCCCTGCTCCATCTCTGGTATCAACTTTTCCCCACCTCTCATGTCCTACACTACTATTCCACTATGTATATTTCTATATATTTCTTCATTGTTATTTGTATTCATATGTAGGCCTCTTTTTGGTCAATGTCTATTTAACAAAAAAATGGGCCACATTATGCAGTTTTCTGAATATTGTACTTCATAACAAAACTTTGCAAAAATCTCTCCAAAGCGGCTAGTATATTCCTCTTAAATACTGAGTTATAGTCCATGATGTCAATTCCATTTCCCAATTGCTGAGTGAGGTGGATGCTGTAATGTGTTCCCCATATCCCTCCTTTAGGACTCAGGCACTTATTTCCTCTGCTGCTGAGTGTGTAGGCTGCTGATAGTCACAGCTTAATCACTTCCCAGAAATTGCTATCAGTGGAAGGGGTATACCACCTCCTCCAGATAACACCACATCCAGTGATTACTCAGTGTGGAGGTACAAGAGCCTGGCCTTTTCACCCTAGTTTGGAACATTTCTGAATGGGCATCCAAGCTTCATATATTCCTGTGGGATCAGGTGAGGGCTCCCTTGCAACTGCATGTTTCTTTGGAAATTCTCTGCCTAATCCTACCTTCCCTCACTGCATTACAAGTGTTGTTCAGGACAGAGTATATCATATTTGGTGCTAGAAAGCAGATTATGAAAATGGATTTTGGAGTGTGATTACATGCTGTCTGGAAATGAGAATTGATAACCCTTGTTATGTGGTAGTGACACAGTTGTCAAAACTCATCAGTGGTGAACTGAGAGAGGATACCAATGGAAGGAAATTTACTGGCAGGTGCAATATCTCAAGAATTCAAGAGGTTCAGAGGAAACAATAATTATAAAGATTATGCAATTGAATAGTTATTACTAGAGGCTATTGATGATCCACTGACCATGGAAGGCTATAGGTGATTAGTCACCAATTTAAGATAAAGGTGAAAGCCAAAGGATCCAATGCCCCCATAGCAGAGGACAGAGAAGTATAAGCACTGGGGGTCTGTAAGCATCAGTTTCATTTTGCAGTACAATCACAGTCCATTTTTTTCCACCCCCATATCAAGCTAATCCATGTATGAACTAAGGTCAGACTTTGCTACCTTTATGCTTTTTTTCTGGGAAAATCACACAAATAAGAAATAAGGCCGAGAGTTGGATGCATGACCTTCCAATATCACAACACAAGTTCTGTCCAATGAGTCCATCTGAGGAACCTTTGACTCTACTGGAATATTTAAATTTGACCAACAAATTTGACTATCTAGTAGTTGATGGAGAAGCTTTTTACACCATTGTACATTTAAGAGGTTCATCTGTAGAGAGACAGTAAGAAGTATCAACTTTTATTCTGCCCATTAGGGAAACTTAGTTTATTGTCCTACAGGTCATCAATCAGGTATGCACCTAAATTAACAATCAGAGTTCTGTATTCTTTCTCCAATTACCTCCAAATTCAAAGTTCTATACATATGAATGCTTTTTAAAAAAGCACCATTCTAATGGTTCTTCAATATATCTATGGATAAATAAAACTTTGATAGTTCACCAAAAGACCATGTGGGATTTATGGTAATAATTTGGCATGTGTCCTCTCAGGAAGTTTTTGAAAATATGGACATCTATTTCAAAAAACCTTTCCACATTCTTCACATTGTCTTGGCCAAAACTGGATCAAGATCTATTTCCTAAGTCCATAAATATGACTAGTTTTTAAAAGAATCTTCATTTGGCACTGGATGGTTGGTTACTAGTAAGGCCTCCACCCCCAGGACCACCACAAAATCAATTTATAATGCAAGAGAAAACATTAGTCACTGCCATACTATTTTGAACAAGATATCATCCTCACTGACAGGACAACAGAGGGAAAGATGCCATATTCATTGAGACTCAACTCTTTTTCAATAGTGTCTGGCATTTATTGAAAATAGGGAAAAGACATTTGTATAGGGCAGAGTGCAGGGGTTCTTGTGTTGAACAAAAGGCACACGTCAGAGACAGCTGCAAACTGAGACAAGAAATGGATTCAGAGCAAAAATAACTAGTCCATGGGAGAAAATGAGTGACTGGATTTGGCCACCAAGCACACCTGGGTCCTGGCAGCCATCTGGCAGGAACATAAAGAGTTTTCTGGGAGTCCAAAGGAAATGGATCCTGCTGAAGGTGACAGGCTGGCTGGCCTCTTCAGCTCAGATACCTTACAGGTGAGTCCAAATCACTAAGAGTAGCAGTCTGGTAGTGGGGTGCCGTGGACAGCAACAGCAGTAGCAGAGGCAGTGCAGGTGTGCAGGCAGAATGACGCAGTAGTCTGGCAGTGTGGCCGGGGGCGTAGGGGTGGACAGTGGCCGGGTGTGGGTGGTCTGTCCAGCGTGTGACAGGAGCCCAGCTTGCAGTTGGAACACAGGACAGCGTCCAAATGGCATGAGAGGGGCTGGACTGGCAGGAGAGGGCAGAGGCGCGCTCCCGAGGCCCAAAGACAGCAGCGCTAGCCTGGAGTGCTATTCCTGAAACAAAGGCAAGCGCGACACAGGAAGGGACAGAAGCGCATGGGAGATCGTAGCGACTCAAAGGGGGGAGGGGTGGCAGGAGGGCGCGCTGGTAGCTACCCTGGCCGTGGCGACTGGCGCAGAGAACCCTCCTCAGACCACACGCCCCCAGGCCCGAGGATCTCCCGGCTTAGAAATCCTCGTCCTCCTCCCATCCAAAGACCCGCTTCATCTCGGCCAGGAAGCCCCGGTAATCGTTGAGGAGGGGGCTATCCTTTTTGATGTAGGGGATCACCCACTGCAGGGCCGGCCCGGTGAGGCGGGTGATGAGGAACGTCACCTTCAGGGCATCGCTGGAGAACGTGTTCTCATCCACGAACATGTAGGAGCCCGTCTGCACGATGAACTCGGGGAGTCGGTCGGTATCGCCGTCAAACGTCTCAGGAAAGGGAATCGGGTTCCTCCACCGACGGGTCGCGGGCCGGATGGGCAAGGCCAGAAGGGCCTTTATCAGCTGCACCCGACCATCCATTGTGCTGCGTTTGCTTTGCCGTGCTCCGCTGGGCTGCACTAGTCTCTGCAGAGGTCGGCATCAAGGCGTCGCCGGAAATACGTGTCCAGGAAGGCGGGCCCAGGCCTGTGGTAGGCCAGGCCATGGGCGGGGCCCCGGCACACTCGTGCGTAGTTGCTACTGCGCAGATGCATCGGGGCACAAGCAGGGACCTGGGGGAGAGTCTAATGTGAGGGGCGGGGTCGAGTCGGAGGGGCCGGGGGCTATGATTCCCAAAGCGGTGTGAGAGAGGAACCAGAGAGTAGAAGAAGCCAGGACATCTGGCAACGTAGCTAGAGGGTAGAGCTCACTAGGAGAGGATGTTAAGAGTCCAAATTTTGGCAGTGAAGAAGGTCTCCGTCTGCACCTATCCCTGCCTTCTCACTCAGCCTTTGCACGTTCTTTCAGGAACCTTTGGTTATGGACTCCACTAGAATGAGGTTTCATGAACACATTTCCCTCTTCTTCATGCATCTCTCTGCTACAGTATTGGCTCCTTGGCCGCAGACATGGTTCCTTTGCAACATTACTAGATAAGCCCCAAATATTAGTAAATGTAATCCAGAGAAGCATAATCAAGGAGTAATGCTCCACGAACAAACAGTTAATGTAAGGAGGGTTAAATGTTAAGGAATCTCTTAATTTGTTATAAAAGCTGCCTGTAATTCTCTGCTACATTGACTTGTCTATAGTTGTGTTCACAACACTACAGCTTATTTCTTCAAGGCCAGGAGGAGAGGGAGTTTGCTTACAAGATGGAGTCATGCATAATGTAACATAACCATGAGAGTTATTACATCTCATCACTTTTGCCTATTCTGTTGGTTAGAAGACAGTCACAATTCCCACCTACACATAAAGGATTGATCAGGAGGTTGGGATGGTGGGAGTCACCGTAAAGTCTGTCACAGTATGGCTATAATAGTTTGATGACACATTCACCTGTTGAAAGACATTTGGCATGTTTACAGGTTTTGGCAATGAGAAATGAATAATCTATAAACATTCACGTACAGATTTTTGTGTGAGCATATGTTTTCAATTTTTTTTAGATAAATGCCTGAACAATAATATCTGTGTCATATGGTTCCTAATAAAAACTCATCAAACTAAGACTAGAAGAGCATTCCTAAGTATAAGGAAAGAAATCTATCAAAAACTTATAGCAATCATACTTAAAAGGTGAAAGCCAAAATGCTTTTCACTCTTAGATCAAGAATAGCACAGGTATGCCCACTCTCACCACATCCATGCAATATTGTATTGGAGGTTCTACATAGTACAATAAAAATAAAGAAAGAGGAAAAAAAGCATCTGGATTGGACAAGAAGAAGTCAAATATCTGTTATTCATACACCACAGGATCATGTATATAGAAAACAAGTTTTCTACATCTATAAAAAATTACTAGGATTAAGAAGTGAGTTTAACAAGCTTCCAGAACATATATGAATATACAAAAATCAAGTGTATTACTGGTAACAAACAAAGGAAATTTAAAACTGAAAAAAATCATAAAAATTGGGTAGGCACACATACCTCAGTGAGGAGGGCCCTGGCCACATACACTGAGGCTGGCGGATTCAAATGCAGCCCAGGCCTGCTAAACAATTACAATGGCAACCAAAAAATAGCTGGACATTGTGGCAGTCACCTGTATTCCCAGGCACTTGGGAGTCTGAGGCAAGAAAATCACTTAAGCTCTAGAGTTTGAGGTTGCTGTGAGCTGTTATGCCACGGGCACGCTACCGAGGCCAACATAATGAGACTTTGTCTCAAAAAAAATCATAAAAATATAAAAACCATGAGGGGTAAATATAACAAAATACTCCAGGGACTCATACCCTGAAAACTATAGAACATTCCTTACATAAAAATATAAAAACCATGAGGGGTAAATATAACAAAATACCTAGGGACTCATACCCTGGAAACTATAGAACATTCCTTACATAAATTGCAGAATATTTGAGTAATAGAGTTATATATGTCCATGAGTTGGAGGACTCAATATTATTAAGATATTCATTCTTCCCAAATTGATGTATGGATTCAAAAGTCCCAGATAATTGTTTTATAAATAAAAACTAATTGATTCTAATATTCATAGGGAAATGCAAAGTACATACACTAGCACAAACAGCTTTGAAAGAGAAGAAATAAGTTGAAGGACTAACATTATTTAGATTTCAAAATTTATAAGAAACAGTAATTAAGACAATGTGACAAATACTGTCACCTTTGGTGCTCCGAAGGGACTGATTTCTAGATCCAAGCAAATACCAAAATCTGAAAAGGCTTAAGTCACTTATATAAAATGGCATAATATTTGCATATAACCAATGTACAACCTCCAATATACTTTAAATCATATCTAGATTACTCACAATATGTAGACTAAAGAAAAATCAATATTTTAAAGAATTAAAGTTATTTTTATTCCAGAGTCTTAATTAGGACTGTAAACTGAGACCAATATGCTGGGAGCAGCCCATAAGAGTTCTTTCTATTGAACCATGTCAGCACAGTGTTTCAGCCTAATGCTTATGCACAGATGATAGAGGGTTCGTACATGCAACCACGTGAAACTTGCTCACAAGTTACATTAAACCAAAATAGCATGAAGATTTGGATGTAAAAGTACAAGTGGTTACAGAAGACAGAGGCATAATCACTAACCCCATTTATCTTTTAAAGAATACAGTGATTCAGGCAAGAGACTTGGGGGTAAGGCATGTCTTCTAGCTTGTTTTGTCTTCAAAGTGTTCCTCCAGTGATCCACATGTAATCACAGAGTTAGAGACTTTGTGAAATTAAGCTGGCAAGTAAAAATGAGCAAATACAGTTTCTTACATTTGTTACTTTCTTTCACAAATACTTAATATAATGAAAATGCCATATATATAGTTACTATACTGTATAGCCACCTAAGCAAGAAAGAACAAGACCTCTCATAACAAAAATAGAAAAATTAGTAGGACATGGTGGTGGGCACCTGTAGTCTCAGCTACTTGGGAGGCTTGCTTGAGCCCAGGAGTTTGAGGTTGCTATGCACTAGGCTGAGACCCTGCAACTCTACCCTGGGTGACAGAGGCAGACTCTGTCTCAAACAAAAAATAAAAAAAATAAAATAAGATAAAAGTCAATAAATGAATTCACGATTAAATTCTCAAAAAATAAATAAATAAATAAAAATTTGTTGTAAATTTTTATTGTTATATCATTATTTGTATTGGTTTTACCACTGAATTTTTTTTTTTTTTTTTTTTTTGCAGTTTTTGGCCAGGGCTGGGTTTGAATCCCTCACCTCCGGTATATGGGGCCAGCACCCTACTCCTTTGAGCCACAGGCGCTGCCCCACTGAAATGTTTTTAATATGCAGTTGCTTGAATCTGCAAGTACAGGGACTACAGATAAAGAGGCCCAACTCTTGATGAATGGGACTGAATGTAGAATTCTAGTGCTAGACCTAGCAATATATGCACAGCTGATTTCTGGTAAAGTTGTCAAGACAATTCAGTAGATAAAAGCTAATCCTTTCAAAAATGACAGAGAAAGAACAAGATATCTATTTAGAAACAATACATTTTGATCTATATCTCTCACCATGTATAAAAATTGACACAAAAAGGTTAATAGAACTAATGGTATTATAAAACTCCTGGAAGAAAATGGGAAAAATCATTTGCAACCTAAGATTAGACAAAGACTTCTTAGCTATGACACCAAAAGCACAATGCATAAAAATAAAATTGGGTCAGGGCTGCATTTGGTGGCTCATGTGTGTCATCCCAGCACTTTGGGAGGCCAAGGTGGGTGGATCGCCTGGGATCATGAGTTCAAGGCCAGCCTAAGCAAGAGGGAGACCCCATCTCTAAAAATAGGTGGGCAATTGTGGTGGGCATCTGTAGTCCCAGCTACTTGGGAGGCTGAGACAAGACAATCACTTGAGTCCAAGAGTTGGAGGTTACTGTAAGCTATGACATGAGGGCACTTTCCTGGGTGTGAGAAAATGAGACTCTGTCTAAAATAAAATAAAATAAACAAAATAAGTTAAATTGGAGCTCATCAAATTTGAAAGCTTGTAGTCTTCAGAAGACAGTGGTAAGAGAATGGAAAGAAAAGACACAATATGGGAGAAAATACTTGTAAATGGCATATGGAATGAAGACATGAATATGGGACATATAGAACTTTCAAACCTCAACAGTGTAAAAGTCAAAAACTTGATAAAAATGGGGAAAATATATGATGAAACACCTCACTAAGAAGATAAATGTATGACAAACATAAAAAAAGATGTTCAGCATACTTAGTAAGTGCAGATAGCAGGGAACAACTATTTGAATGGCTGAAGCAAACAAAAAATATTAAATCTGAAAACACTGAGTCTCAATGTGCTTGCAGAGCAACTTAATCCCTTGTCCCGGGTGGATATAAAGTTTGTGTGCAAAATTCACATGAACTTAATGGCCAACCTGTATATTACTGGTAGGAATACAGAATATCAAATTTACTTCGGAAGACATTTCTGGCATCTTATAAGATTATTTCATGCACCTTTACAGACTATAATTCCTCCTCCCTTGAGATAACCAGTATTCTGAATTCTATAAGCATTTAGTTGTGCCTATTTTTGACATGGATATAAAGTGGAATCATAAAGTATATACTATTTTGTGTCTCACATATTGGACTCAATGTAGTATCTGTACCATTCATCCATATTGTCACATATACTAGTATAGTATACCATTGTTTGTATATGTCATAATTCATTTATCCATTTGCCTAACTGGTAATATATTAAAAGGATCATACACTGTGATTAAATAAAGTTTGTCTCAGGGAAGCAAGGTTGCTTTATCTCAAAAATCAGTCATTTTTACTACAATAACCAAAAAGCAAACTTTAGTACAAAGAATAATGATCCCCTAAAGATGTCTGCATCTTAATTTCCAGAAACTGACAATATAAAGTAAAAGAGAATGAAGGTTGCAGATAGAACTAAGATTGCTAATCTGTTGCACTTGCAATAGGCAGATTATCCTTGATGAT